AAAATTTTCAAAATATTTATTTAAAAAAAATTAATGTTGAAAAACGGCTTTTCTAAAACCGGTTTTCATTAAAAAAAAAAATTGAACAACAAATATTTATGTTGAAAATATAAATTAAAAAAAAATTAATGGGAAAACAGTTTTACGAAAACCGTTTTTAATTAATTTAGAATAATTAAAAACTTAATTAAAAACGGCTTTAGAAAAATCGGTTTCTATTTTCAAATTTTATTATTATTTTAATCGATGAATACGGTTTTTCAAAAACCGTTTTCTAGAAAACGGCATTACAAAAACCGTTTTACCTTACTTTGGGAATAAAGATAAAAACACACCTTAAAGTGGGACTAAAATTTTGAAAACACCCCAAACAGGGAAATTGGCCCGGGGTAGGTCTGCCTTCTGCCGTAACAATGAATTGTTGATGTAGATATCAAGAATATTAATAAGTGCAAATTTAAAGATCTCCATAATACATTAAATAAGGCAGAGCACAAGGTTATTATTGTTATTTATTTATTTATTTTTAATCTCTTGTGCCAATAAGAGAAAGACATGAGTTGGAAATCTTATCTTCATATTGCGGTCGTGTCGGGTTGATTGATTTTTTGGATGATTCATTTGACATCTAACCATCAAACCACAAAAACAAATGTTCTAAACCCATTATTGACCAAATCTAAGTTTGAAACCGCCCGTACAGTATCGGGTCGGATGAGTTATGCGAGTTAAACGGATATTTGAACAGCTCAAGTTATGAAAGTGGTTTAGGTAGTCAAAAATTCATCATGCATCAATACAATATGTGTCTCACAATTGCTATAATATGAAGTATGTTTTAGAGAGAGAAAGTGTTACATTTGAAAACCCACCAACAATTTGATTTAAGGGTTTGGGTTTGATTTTACCTCAATAGTGGTGGTGTACAAATAATGAGTGATAGTAGAGTATGAATGTCTTGGGTGTAGGTACATTGGTCATGTGATGGTGGGAATGGAAGATAAAAGTAGTGCATATGATGAGTGGGATGGAAGGTGGAGTTGGTGTATGTGAGAACTTTTAGAGAGAAAGAGAGAGAAAGAGAGAGAGAGAGGAGAGTAATGAGAAAAAAGATGAACATAAGGGTGAAATGGAAAATTCACAACTTAGTGGAGGGTATTAAGGTCAATGGAATTTATTTGTTAGTTCTATTAAGGGACAAAAACTGATTAGGGGGTTAGTGTAATTTTTGAAATTTTAAGAAAGAATTTGTATTAAAGACAAACCTTAGGGGGTGTTAATGTAATTTATCCAATAATAAAAGAGAACAAACATATCTCATGGAAAGTATAAAATAGATAGAGAGTCATGGAGAATAAGCATGGATCTACTAACAATTTCATGAAAAACATGGATTTAAAACAAAATAAATTTTAGCATGGCAACTACATAGAAATTACTAGAAACCATCTTGAAATCAAAGCTTCAGAAAAGAGAAAAGATGGAGACGATGAGCAAATCTTCAACCAAAACTTGAAGATCACACCCAATAATCACCTAAATCACTCTAATCTCACTAAACAAGTCACTAGGGCAGTGGTAGGTACCAAAACCACTTTAGTGTTTGTAACAATATGTTCTGGGTGACCGCTTGAGCGGTCATTTAGTCACTTGAGTGTAGATGTGAAGCTCCTCGAGTGATGAAGTGGTCGCTCGAGCGTAAAATTTAGGCTCCTAGTATTTTCACTATAGCTCTGCAAAACTTCTGGAGCCTTGCATTTATTGCTTAAGCGATGGAAAGTTCACTCGCACGGTCTGGTCGGGACAACACACTTAAAAGTCGATCAAACTCTTTTCTCTTTCAGTTTTTCCAACCCCTCTCTCTCTATCACCCATTTCCAAACCCTAACCCTAGAAACACTTGATTTCCTCAACTTTTACTAAAAGATTCACCTTAAATCCTTCAAGAAAAGTGAAGAGCAAGTTTGATTCAAGATTCTCATCAGTTGGATCGTGTTTTTGTCAAATTTCTTGTTGGGTCATCAACTCTTAGCCATCATTTTTAAGGTAGGGGGTACTTTTAACTTGTTATATTCTTGTATTGAGATATATGTGTGTGTGTGTGTGTGTGTGTGTGTGTGTGTGTGGTAATTTCCTAGTTATCGAAATGTATGAGATATTTTTGTTAAATAAAGTGGGTTTGTTAAACTAATGAAGTCTTGTGCCTAATGATTTTCAGAAAGATTGTAAATGTTTTCTTGTGGATTTTGATGTTGATAATGAATATTGACTTCCTATATGCAAATGAGAGGAAAGCCCCAAAATTTTTTGAAACCCTGTTTTCAAATTGAATTAATAAAGGGAATTTTGTTCAATTGACTCTTGAATAGTGAAATCAAATGCATTGAGTTTACTTTGGCATTGAGATATGGACGTTTGATAACTTGTCGAAATAAATCCTTGAGTTTGTGAAATTGAAGAACTAATTATGTGATGAATATTATTATGTTGTTGTGAGTTGAACAAACCATAGGGAAAATGCATTTGGAAAACTCATGCATTATCTGTAATAAAATGTCTCTTGTGATTCTATGATTTCATTAATAAATAGGAAGCTTTAGAACATGGGCAAATAGTGTATGAGTTTGGGTATGAGTTGAGTTTGGTTTAAACTATGTATTGTATATTGGTACCCGTGTGAGGAGTCAAGATGCCCAATTGTCCTGTTGTTGGCTTTTTGGCTTTCGAAGGTTAGTTTTGTAATTATGAGCGTGCCGGCAAGGATCAATCAGTCCTTACAGAACTGTAATTGCCAACCAATTATTCAGACGATTGTGTTATGGTTCTTTCAGCCTCAATGAAGAAGACTTTTACTGGCGGCTTACTGGTAGCTTAATTTAGGATAATTTAAGAATAAGAACAGTTAAATAAATTGAAACATTTCATTAGTATGAAAAAACTTACAATGATCTCAGCCTCGTAGAGATTTACAGCGGCAATATACTCGAAAACTACTCCTACAAATGAAGTGTAGTGTAGGAATTTAAAGTACAGAAATGTAAAGAACAAGAAATAAAACTGGAATATGTAAAGTAAGACTGGTTTTCTTAGATCTTTTCTCCGTCCCCATCTCTGAAGTCCTTCTTGCTATTTATACTCTCCAAAGATAACCATCGAACTGCACTTCAAACCGTCGAACTGCTCCTCCGTGATCGCTGATCATGCTACCTTTTAAGTAGGTCCACTACGCCTTCACTTGCAGTTAGGCTTCCCTCCTATATTTGAATTTGAATGTGAGCAACCGTTGAAGCCACGTCACGTTACATCTCTTTGTTGATCCGCTGCTGTTCAGATCTTATAGCAATCAATATTAACTGCCACGTGTATGATCAGGATCGAAGACCTGACTGGTCTCCCCATATTACCCTTACTTTGCCACGTGTCGAATTGTCACTGGCTAGCACAAAATATGTAGCCAACAGTTGACAAATGATTTGATAATAAGCTAATTTAGTCATAAAAATAAAAAATCACTAAAAACATTAGAAAGTCATACAAAAAAAGTTAGGCCCTGCTTGGTTTGGATTTTGAAAACAATTATTGAGATCTCAAAATTGAAAGTTGATTTTTTAGCATTTTCTCAAAACTATTATAAATTGACCTCTATTCGCAAAACTATTTCAAATCAAATTTATCTTTATTATCAAAATTACATTAATTGCACCAACATCTATGTTGAAGTATGCAATATATCATATTTTCAAGTTAATTGAGTTTTTTTGAATGAAAATGTATAAAGAAGTTATTTATCAATTCGTATAAAAATTTAAAACAAAATGAATTTGTATTTTGAATTAATAAAAAAAATATTTTTGAAAGTAGTGAAAAATGTGTTAAATTTAAATTGGGACGATCAATGCGGAATGAGTAAATGATTTTAAAATTTTTATTTGGATTTTAGATATTCAAAAACAAATTTTGAGTTTTTATCTCCAATTTTTTTTTTCTTTTTTTTTATAATGAAATTTTTTTATATATTGGCTAATTTTTTTTTTAGATACGTCTAATTTAGATATATTTAAAAAAAATTAAAAAGTGTGAAGAAATTTGTAGAAAAGTTCAATAAATACAAAAAATATATGAAAATGTATAATTTTTTTTTTGTATATTTGTTAATATATAGTATTTTTAAAAAAAAAATTCATAAATTTTATACGTTTTAGGTATATTTACATTGAGTGAATCTAAAAACTAACGTGTGATTTGGCAAACTTGACTTTTTGATTTTTTTGACTTTTCTAGTTTGAGAGTTTTTTGTTCGTTTGGTTTTTTTGGTTTTTTTGCATTGGAATGACAAAATTGCCTTCCACTTGAAAATGATTCTTTTTGGACTTTTTATTTGTATATAGGTCAATTTAATAATTTTGCATTAAAAGTTTAGTGTTTTGTTATTTTGTGGCTTTTTTTTTGTCCTTATGTGCTTATTTAGTCCCAATAAGTTTACCAAACCAAGGCTAAAAAGTATTAATTAAAATATTTAAAAATTTATTACAAACAAAGTACATTAGATCAAGTACATTAAAAAGTAAAAATCAAATTGACTAAAATATGAATAAAGTTTACTAAAGACACAAAACACCAAAAAATAAAAAAATAAAAACTTAAAAATTAGTTTTAAAAACTCAAATCCAAACAAATTTTAAATTTTCAAATTTTTAAAAACCATTTTCAACCTATATAACCAAACAAATTTTCAAATTTTATAAATCTTTTCAAAAAGTTCTCTTTTAAAATCCATTCTGGAAATAAACCAAATGAACCTTAATTTTTTTTTATTATATTCTCTTTACTCTTTTTTGAAAATTTTATGTAAAAAGTCAAAAAAATATTTCCAATCATATTTTTTTTTTCAACCATTATTCCAACTAAAAAATAAAAAATAAAAAAAATCCAATTCCTCAACCAACTTGCCTTTACATCCATGGCATTAATACAGAGCAGAAGACGTAGCAGACGAGAAGATCAACCCTAAAAAAATGGCGGGAATATTTGGCGCCATAACGCGGAACAGTTTTTTCACAGCCAAATCTTCAATCTATAAATCATTCTATCCATCTTCATCGTTTGCTCTACCCTTCAATCCCATTCTCTCCAAATACCCAAGTCAATACTCTCATCTCCCTCGAGTCCTCGCAATGGCCCTGCAAGAAGACCCACAAATCAACGGTTCCGAAATCAAAGAACCGTCCCCGAAGATTCGGAAGCTCGATCAGAACGGAGAAGACCCAGAAATCAACGGTTCCGAAATCAAAGAACCCTGCCGGAAGATTCGAAAGCTGGATCAGAATGGCGTTCATGGAGACCCAAAACCCTCCATCACTACTACCCCTCTTTTCAAAGTGAAGAAGCTTTCTGAGAAAGCTGTTCTTCCCTCTAGAGCCTCCTCTCACTCCGCTGGTTACGATCTTTCTAGGTAATCAATCATACATTTTTCATATACATTTGTGTGTAATTTTGGTGATTGACCGGTGTGTTTTCCGTCTTATGTGCAGTGCAACAGAGAGCAAAGTACCAGCAAGAGGAAAAGCCTTGATTCCAACAGATCTGAGCATAGCAATACCTGAAGGAACATATGCTCGTATAGGTAAAAATCTCTTGTGCGAGTGTGGTTTTTTTTGTTGATTTTATGCGATTTGATGATTTGGGTTTTGGTTGTTTTGCAGCGCCAAGATCTGGGTTGGCATGGAAACATTCGATTGATGTTGGGGCTGGTGTGATCGATGCGGATTACAGGGGTCCAGTTGGGGTTATCTTGTTCAACCATTCCGACGTTGATTTTGAAGTGAGGGTTGGTGATAGGATCGCACAACTGATCATTGAGGTTATCATGGTGCCTGATGTTGCAGAGGTTGATGATTTGGATTCCACTGAAAGGGGTGATGGTGGGTTTGGATCTACTGGCGTTTAGAACTCCTCTGTTAATTGGTATATTTTAGGGTTTGGGGTTTCTGACTTTTTGTTTTGAATCGTTGGTTATCGTCAATAAGGGTGTTATTGGGGTTATTGGGTTCAAATGCGTGAGGATCCTCTTCTTTCTCTTTGGGTAATTTTGTCGGACACTTGGTTAGCACAAAAGTATGTAAAACCCTTGAAATCGAACAACTAATATTGCACGACTCTGTTAGTTTCGGTTATTAATTTCAGGTTTTATCAATGTGCATTTGGATATAAAATGAAATGCAGATACCCGTGTTTGTTTGTACTCTTAAAATGAGATCATCCATGGAACAAACATTGAACCCATTTCATTTTATATCCAAATGCAGATACCCGTGTTTGTTTGTACTCTTAAAATGAAATGCAGATACCCGTGTTTGTTTGTACTCGATTGAATCGGCGATTCTTTTGATTTTGACAATCTAAGTTGGTTTTCAGCCTAATTCGACTTGTGGGATTTTTCTAGATTGGTACTAGGATCGGATTCCGGTTCTACCGGTTCATCCAACTGATTCGATCGGGGTCTTAAAACATTGCTTAGAGAGAAATTTAATGTAATGGTGATATGAGGTCAAGTATGAAGTTATCAATTCACATGTGTATCATGGGATGCGAGCAATATGATCATTGTGAGATTTGTTTCTCCATGCTTTGCTTCAATGATTACACATGCACATTTCGAATGATTTCAATTTTACTTGCAAAATTTTTGAAATTGTATTAATTTGTCTCGTACAATCACATTTAAACAAAACAATTTAATACCAAATTTTAAATTAAAAATACGAACTCGTTCTTTTTTCTCTCTTATCATTTCCTAAATTATCCAAATTCCTTCTCCTTCCTCCGTCGTCATCTTCCCCACCACCACCACCAAGAAGCCCTTGTTCTCACTACACACATCAAACCAAGAAGGCCCTTGCTCTCTCTTTCCCAGCCAATTCTTCTCCTCTTAGTTCTTCGATAACATGGATTCAATGCATTGGCCCATTGGATCTAATGAAAATGCAAACAATCAGATCGAATCTGGTGTTGAATCAATTAAGAAGATTGATGGAAATTCAAACTCTAATTTGATAAAAAAACCAGTTTTCATAGAAACAAACAAAAAACTTTGTAGAGAACAAACTAAAATAGACAGCTACAACATCTAACTAACCTCATAGATAAGAACAAAAATAAGAATAAAAAGGAAATAAAAAGGGTATGATGCGACGAAGGTGTTAGGAAGTTATCACAAATGATATAATTTAATACACTTACAAAGTGGGCACAAGTGTGAATCAGTGATTGTAAGTTTGACTTGCAATCAAAACAGAGCAGCAAAGATAAAGAAAATATTAAAATTATTTCAGAAAGAAACAGAGCAATAAACCATAACAACGATACTTTAAACAAATATGCAAGGAGATTATACTAGAAACATAAACTGGAAATTGTAACACAAAACAATACAATACCGCAATTAGTCAAGGCTTGTGTTGGACACAATTTCCTTAAGGTTTAATTCGCCCCCACCGTGGTGCTCGGGTTATCGGCACTAACCTCTCAAGATTCAACGACTAGAATCCAAGATCGCAGCACAACGATCCCAGATATGGCGAACCAAACTTGTGTTGCACTCTCTCTGTCTTAGACATAGACTTGAATGAAGATGAAGGAAAACAGAGCAAAGAATTTTGAAAATTCTATGCGACTCTAACTCTGATTTGGATTGTAATTCAATTCGAATTTCTATATTCTACAACTTAGGATGAATGGGGTATTTATAAACTCTAAGATGGTGGTTCGAACAACCACGAATTTGTTCGAATTTTGGCGATTCAACTTCGAGAATGCGCCTGAAACGTGGTTGTAGACGTCCCCGAATGCCCTGGGAGGGTGAGTCCCGTTCCGTTCATTTGGGGTCACTACAACTCAGGACTCTCAAATGTCACGGTTCTAAGTCTGAACCAAAGAGTCCAAATCCGGCAAATCGTTTTGAGAAAAACAGATTTTTGAAAGAAGTGCCAAACATGGACTGCTTTGCCAGATACAGAGTCGCCACCTAAATATTTTATTTTTGGGAAATTTAGGAAACCCTGACTCGTTTGCCTAAGGCCACGTGTCCGTCATCACCAAAGTTGCCTCGGCTTGGGAACTTGGGTACGATTGGGGAAGGTCACTTCGTGAGCACCCCCGCTTGCCCGGTCAGAGACCGGCCTCTACTAACCATGATATCTATTTTTGAAAACATTGTATGTTCTTATTCCGGTTATTAGCCTAGGTTACTATGTGATGCGCACAGCATACAAGTATAGACTGAGTCGCCTGAATTGGAACAAAACATTTCATGTTTGTTTATTTGAAAGATGGTTTGCTACTCGCAAGTAGGCTTAAAATGCAGATTTTGCCACCCTCAGGTGGGCTTAAGAAAAGATGGTTTTGCCACTATCTAGTGGGCTTAAAACAAACATTTGATGAATTATTCCAATTCAGATAACCCAACCTTCACCCACAGGCATTCAGGCAGTTATATCACATAAGCAATT